TGCAAACTCCACACAGACAGTCACCCGAGATTGGAATCAAACCCGGGCCCCTGGCACTGTGAGGCAGTAGAGCTAACCACTGATCCATCATGCCACCTTGGGAATTGTATCACTGATAACAAGGTTTGAAAAGTTTTCCTTAATAATACCTTACATTCTTCTTCAAAAGTTGCATTCAATTCTGAGGCTTTTCATATCTTTGATTAAACTAATTTTCCAATTTGTTGTACAGTTCCAATGATGATCATTCTCCTTCTCAGGTTTGTTATCATGCCTCTTTGTATGCCTGAGGCTGATCAATACCAATGAAGTAACTTCTTGAATGCATGCTAGCATATGTGATGTTATTCCGATCTGAGAGGGCAGACAGGAAACAAATCCCTATCATCACAAATGCTGCTAATTTCATTGTCGGATTGTATTCTCTCAAAACTTAGCATTGCTTGGACAGGTGGTTAATTCTTGGGGCATAATTTTCAGGATTGCCCCGGAGTTTTTAGCAGGGTGGTTGAGGGAATTTAATCAGGCAGATGGCAAAGATTTTGTCTCCGGACAGTGGGTTACACTTTTGGAAAGAAATTTCCAGAATCTTTCAGGCTGGTCAGCTGTCGGGAACCTGTTTTGCATTCATTAGCATGCTATGAATACTCATTAACACCAGCTGATCAGAATTATGTTCATGGAGGCAAATTTTTTAGTTGAAAATGAAAAGCAATTGTGTCATGAACCTGATGTATATATATATAAGGTATGTATATATATATAAGGTATGTATATATATATAAGGTATGTACCTGGCAGGGTAGGCTTCTTTTCGAACCTCTGGTGTATAAAGCTTGAATCTGTTACTTTGCTCTTTCAGAAACATTTCATTATACAAATGCTTCCAGTGTTAGTGAAGACTCTGCATGTTAACCAACTCTTGAAAAGGCACAATCAAATGTAGTCAAGGCTCTTGCAATTAAAAGTTTCCAGTTTTAGGAGTGAATACGACTGGGTCCACTGGCCTGCCTAATGAAGGCATATTGGGGCACTGGAGGGATCCTGGGGAATTGAGACAACTGGGTTGTCAAGGTGAGAGTCAAAGTAAAAGAGGCTACAAGGACAATGAAAGGTGGGAGCTGGACAGTAAGGGTGGGATAAGTTGGTAATCGGGGGAGTAGTAAAATAGTATATAGGCCGATAGCAACCGGGGTGGGGGGGATTGAAGAAGGACAGAGTAGAAGCATTAGGAAAAGATGAAGCATTAACAATAATAAGGAGGAAAATATACTCAAAATGGAGAGGATAAAGGTGGAAGAGACAAAGAAAAGTTCATCATCTTTCTCAATGTATTTTCCCCAACTGAGATTTTGGAGAAAGCGCAGTGCAGAAGGAAAGGGGCAGTGTTCTGTTTGCGCATGTTTAAGGACAGAAGCTTTCAAAACTGAAACTGGTAAAACCTATTTCATGAATTTTCCCTTAAGGGAAACAGTCACATTAAAGATGAATATGGTGCAATGTCTACATTTAGTTACTTCCCAACAATGTCTGATCAGTTGTTAATCTTTCAAAAGAAGGGTAGTTAGGATGCACCAGTTGATGGGGGTTGGGGGTGTTGGGAACCTTGAAGGACTGTTGACAGGCCATGAGTTAGCCACATGGGAACAAATGAACTTTCCAAAGTGTAAGGACCGCATCGCGGGAATAATGAATGTCAAAAAGACTCATATTGTGTTATTTGCCTGGAAAGCTTCCGCACGGCATAGAGAGAACAAATATATTGGATATGACAGTATCAAGATAGGGGGAAACCAGTCACAGGATTTGGAAGATGTAAACACAGGTAATGGTAGGGCAGGCTTTCACTTAAAACTGGAGCAATCTATAAGAGGTCAAAGGATCAAAATGACTACGTCAAGATCTCATATGCAAAGCATACATCTCATTCCTGCTATTTCTTCACATAGCAGAATTTCCTTACCAGATGTGGAACCACTGAAAGCTGTAGCTGCCTTAGCATTGCTAAGACAAAGAACACAAAAAAGGAGAAGGGGGAGAAGAAGAGAAGATCAATGATGGCAAAATTGGAGACATGAGGTTGAGGGGGCCGCTGCTGTAGATGAACAAGCACAGCATGAACAGAGGAACCAGGGTCTTCAGTGCAATTGAGCAGATGACTGTGAAAGACTGCACAGAACATGTTGCAGATAACTGCCAGAGAGACCTGGAAAACTGCCACCTGCCTCTGGGAATGGGATTTGCAGGTACTTGGTGAGAGGAAGCCTTATGCCAGAGGCCCTGAAGATCACAGCCATCAGCTCTTTTCAAATACCAACTTGGGTCTAATATGGCAGCTCACATGTGCATTCATGAGTTCACAAATGCCCTTTACAGGAAAGCAATTCAGTTTGTCTAGTTCACATTGGCCCTGAATAGTCAAGCTGTTGAGCTAACAAGGTGCAGAGCTAGATGGACGCAGCAGGCCAAGCAGCATCAAAGGAGCAGGAAGGCTGACATTATGGGCCTAGACCCTTCTTCTGATTTCTGAAGAAGGGTCTAGGCCCGAGACGTCAGCCTTCCTGCTCCTCTGATGCTGCTTGGCCTGCTGTGTTCATCCAGCTCTACACCTTGTTATCTTAGAAATTCTTAAGTTGCATGTTATCACTCAATTCTCCAATAGAGACTGCACTGAGGACTATCGCACAATCCACACTGACTGAGATCCATGAGAATTTCAACTTTCCTGTTCCCACATAGCTTTAGAACCACCTTAAATGTGACTCCTTGTTCAATTCAGTATGAATTTAATAAAACTTATTGAACAACAGAACTGACTTTGAAAATAATGTTATTTTTTGTGGATAGCCTTTAAATGGTTAATTATCAGGCTTCTAAGCCAAAATTTAAGCAAGGCTTCAAGAATATTTTAGCTTCTACTTGAACTTCGTGTAAATCACAATTTTAGTTAATAAAAACACTTTAAAGTGATTTTATTTTGTTGCTTTTATTTTCTTGGTTGGTTGTCCAGGACAATCCTTTAATGTGATTGGCTATTTGTCTTTATAATGACAAATCCATGCTGTCAATGCCAGTAAAGAACATTGTAATCTGTTACATTACCAATGCATGGCAACAGAGGTGACATTCTCAACTACCATAACAAGGGCTGCATTATAATTAACACTGTCAAACTTTGGCCTTGCTTCTTGCATAATGGAATGCTCCAATTTAATGAGTTACTTGAAGTCATAAAACTCTCCTTTTAACAGCGCTGTGTGTGTACCTACAATAGATGGAATGTCATTATTCAAGAATGTGGTTCACTACCACCTTCTCAAGTGCATTTAGAGATGGACAACAAAAGCTGGTCTAGCCAACAATGTTCTCATCCCAGGAAAGAATGATAAATTAAATCAATTTAGTTTAGGTGATATGCACATTAAAGGTGTTGTTCTCATGAAAGAGACTATCTATGGATAGAAAACTTATACTGACATCAGGAACAAAGTTAGTGATGTCAAGACCATCATCAAAAATTTAGAAATAAATAAGGTCGAAATCAACTTCTCATAATGACTTTGTTCTTTCAGCCAAGGGAGTGAAACTAGAAATCTGATCAGCAGTAGACACTCCTAAATCAGAAACATTTTTAACATAGAAAAAACATCTCAACTTCAGATCAGAACCGTTTTAAACAATAGTCAGTATTTACGCTGGTCTGCATTCACAATGAAGTGAGCTGGGACCAACTGGAAACCACTCAAATTGAGACCTTTCTAGCCAATGCAAACACACATTGCCATTAATCTTGTAGTTCGGTAATATTGAACTTAACACTGCCAAATCAGGTTTCCAAGCCTGTAATAACTTGTGACATTAATACTTACTTCTTGTCTGCTGTCCATTGTGAGCAAAATACAAACAAACATATGAAGAGGTATTTAAAGAGAGACCCTATCATTTCATTGACTTTAGAAAGCCTCCAAGCTCTAGATGATTTCTTGATGCTGTCATAAAAACCGAATCAATGGGACATAGAATAATCAGCATAGAATGCTCATCCATGATCTTAAGCTAAAAAAGACTCGTTTTGGATGCTGGAGAAGGAAAAAGGTAAACTAGTTGATTTGAGCTTGATTTATTTTGGAAATTAAGCAAAACTTTTACATGTGCTTGCTGGTGGATTTGTAGGTGGGGGATGTTCCATAAAATTCCTCAAATGGTCTTCCCACCAGGCAATTATAGTGATTTTACAGTGGACGTGCATTTCCTAAGCTGGTCCACCTACCACTATCTTAAGTGGCCAATTATTGCGGTTCAACTTCATCAACAGCTTTCGTTCAACATAGGTGCCACCGTCAGATGATGGAAAGCCATCCTAAAAATCTTGTCCTAAGCATTTCTAAGTTTTATTTTACTGAATTTTTTGGACGATGTCATAAGAATGAAGGTTATGTTATGTACCTCACATATTATTTCCACATACAAGGAAAAACAGAGCCCAAAAGATTCAGAAATTATGCAGTTTCACTAATTTGGCCAAAGTTTGGATAAAGTTTTGAAAACAGAACATTGCTACGGGGGTAAAATTTTCAGGATCAATCCCTCACCATCTCTTTTTACTTCACTCTCATCCACTGAAGAAGTGATGGTTTCTCCTGTAAACAGAAAGCAAAGCTAAGTTCTTGTCGTTATAAAAAGAATGAACACATTCACAAACTGGATTAGTCCAGCCAATAGGCTCTTACTCCCATCTACTTATGAAGCACTGAGTGAGCAGGTTAAGAAGATAAAGCAAGATAATGTAAATGCTAAAATAATAATAGAAAATGCTGGAAATACTCAGAAGCTGAAAAATGAAGGCCAACATTCAACAAAATAACCTGTGACCAAAAGAACACATGGTAGAAAGAGTGCAGGAAATACAGCCACTTACCACCAAGTAAGTCATGTGTGGATTCTTCAGTACAGTCAAGTCAATCTATGGTCTTAGCTACCCCACTGAGAGCTAAGAGCAGAGTGGGACTCATAAAGGACCAAAAAGCAGTGAGTGCTGCTTAGATCCTTCCAGGATCTCCTCAACCAAGACTCAGTCATTGACATGTATGTCCTTGATCAGATTCCAAGCATGCTACCTGTCACCGACTCAACGCAACTCCAGCCTAGAATGAGATTAGAAAGGCCATCTGGCAGCTGGGAAACAACAAGGGCACCAGCACAAATGGATTTTTCTGCTAAAATCCTAAAATAAAGCCAAGAACCACTCTTGGCTTGTATAGATGACCTCATCTCCTTCAACTGGAAGGAGCACAGCATGCCAGGAGATTTCTGAGAGTTAAATTATGGCCGTCTTCAAGAAAGAAATAAGTTTGATCATGGTAGCTACAGAGGAGTATTCTTGATGCCCACTAGAGAGGTCATTGCAAAAATCCTCTTGAATCATCTCCTCCCAGTGACTGAAGAGCTCCTCTCAAAGTCAAAATGTGGATTCTGTCCATCAATAGGCAGACTGGATGGGTGGCATGCCCTGGGATCTTCACAACAAGTCAAATTTACCACCAATCTCTACCTGCAGCACAACAACTAGCAAGCCATGCATGATCTTCACCAACGGATCCACAACTGACCCTAAACATGTGCAAATCGGTGTCAAGCAAAGCTGGCTCCTTGCACCAGAGCTGTTTGTTATCTTCCTTGCCCAACAAGCTGTATCATCTCCATGAGGTTTCCTAGTCGGGTGGAGCTAATCTACAGGATAAGCGAGAAACTGTTCAATTCCGTCACCTCCAATCCAGACCAAGACCACCTTAATTACTGTCTTTGAGCTGCAGTATGCAGATAATGATTGTGTGTGGGCACGTGCAGAGGCCAAGCTCTAAACTAACGTGGATACATTCATAGAGTCATATGAGGGAATGAGTCTTCGGCTACGCTTCTGGAAGACAAAGGTCCGCTATCAGCCTGCTCCCACCGCACAACACTGTCTTCCAACCAACCTAGCCATTGGATAGCAGGAATTAATTCCCATACATTAGGAACCTCCTTTCAGTAAGGACAGACATCAATAATGAAATTTAACATCACCTCCAGCGTACCAGAATAGTCATTGACCATCTAAGAAACTGAGTGTTTGATGACAAATACAATGTCAAGCTCACGGTCTGCAAGGGAACAGTGTTACCTGCCCTGCTGTATACATTGCAGACACGGACAATGTATACAGACATTTCAAATCCCTCGAGAAATGTCACCAACAATGCTGCAGCAAAATCCTGCAAATACACTGACAGTAAAAGTGCTGCTATATCCACGTCCTCTCTCAGGCCAACATCCCCAATATTGAGGCTGCTGCATTGGTCAAGACACACATCCATATGTCCCTTCACATGACTTCCAAAACAAGCTCTCACTCTACTCTGAGCTTCATCACAGCAGTTACCAGGATGGCAGAGATAATAAATCATGGATGTTATTAAAGCCTCCAAGAAAAATGCAACATGCTCACTGGTTCATGGGAACCTACAACCCAAGACTACCCAAATTGGAGAAGAAGCATCACAAAGGTGTCAACTGTTTGGGGACTGTCTTGGACAGGGCCAGATAGAGGCCAAACACAAACATCGGAAGTAGTGTATTAAAACCTGAGCATCGCGCCCATCCACGTCAGTAAACACCACAGGCCCTCCTGTGGCAGGGCTGACAGATCCAGGCAATTTCATTACCCCAGCATCCACAAGATTGGAGTGGAAGAAAGCTATACTTGATCCTGCAGGAATGCCTAAGAAGAAGAGCAAATTAGGAAGATAAGCAAAATACTGTGGATGCTAAAACTTTGAAATATTTTTTAAAAATTGCTGGAAACACTCTGCAGCTCAGGGAGAACCAGCTAAGAAAGAAACAAGGAAATTTTGGATAAAGTTGGAAAATGAGGAGATGAAGGGAATGTAATGTTGATGAACTCATGTGCACTTACCGCACTGCAGACAGCACAAAAACTTTGTGTTGCCTACTAATTTCAGCGATGTGGATTGGTGAAGGATAGAATATTGAACATTGTATTAGTTTACTTGAAAGCTCTTATTTACAATTGCATGCCATGCACCTTCAACTAAAAATCCCACATTCAGTTTGCTCTATGTGGACAATTATATGCATGTCATATGTACAACTGAATTCATCATCTCCTCAAATGAGCCAATTCAGCCATTGGCTGATGAAAGAAAACAGAGGGAAAGGATCTCAAAAGTGAGATTAAGGTCACAGTTTATTAGGCAACAGAGATTCCTGTGCTCTTCTATGCTTCAGACAAATGAACAGCAGCAGCCTGAAGGCACTGGAGAAGTCACACCATTCATGTCTTCATAATATCTTCTGAAGTTGTTGGCAAGAAAGGTGGCTCACGAGCAGCTTCCTTTTCCAAGCTGACATGCCTCACCTTGAGGTACTAATCACTCAATATCAGCTCCATAAACTGTTTAAACACTGGACACCAGACTACCGAGGCAATTGTTTTATTCGAAGCGCAATCGCAGCAGGAGACTGCCAGGAGAAGAGTGGAAATGCTTCAGGAATATCCTCAAACCATCCATGAAGAGATCACCATCCCCATCAATTAATGAGAGACATGGGCTCACGACCCAGCAAAATGGTAAACATTAACTCAGGAAGGCTCCAAACAGAAGGAGAGACTTTGTTGGGAATGTGCAGAGATGAAATTGAAGCATTAGAGACAGCAAATAAGCCTCCAAACAACAGAAGAATTTGACCTTGCAAGAAACACCCATCTGCAGGTGATAGAGGCTGCAGATAGCTTGTTGGTCTTATCAGCCATCTCAAAACCCACTGAAACTGAGTGAAAATAAGTTATCCTCAATCCTGAGGGACTGCTAAAGAAATACATACATGAACAGGGGTTAGTTCCTAATTAACACACAGCATTGAATAGACTTACCACTGAGCAACACTGATTTGTAACTTGACATCAAGAAAACAGATTAGCTGCTCTTTCATTTCATTGTTGCTTATCAGATCTTAGCTGGCAAATTTATTGAGCATTAGTCTCCATAATAGTGACATGCATAAATTAAATCATTGGCTGTAAGATACTTTGGGACATCCTGTATATCTGAAGCTGATATATAAATGCAAATCACTTTGTTTCTGTAGCAGGAAGGAACACCTTTACCTCGTTTTAAAATATTTGTCACTCTACTGAAATGTGAAAATACCAAATATGAACTGTTAAATTTACAGGGAATGTCAGCACTTACTGTCTACTGTAGAGTTTAGGTTGTCCATACTCTTAGCATTATTCTTCTTAGCTCTGGCTAAAGCCTTCATTACAGGGGACAATCCATAAATGGGACCTGAATTAAAATTACAAGAAATTTTTCAAACAGTATTGGTCGCATTACTAAACAGCAGTAATGGCAGCAAAATACATCTAGATAGATGAGGCATGGATCTTCTAACTTTGAATCAAGGAAAGTCCTTTAGGTAAAGAAAATTTGAATCATTGGTGGAATCCTGTAAGGTAGGGACTCAATCTTAGTAGGAGCATGAAATAGGATTAAGCAATATGTTAAAACTATACTGATGTTTTTTCATTGCTGACTGCATTTTCTTGCTGCAATTCTAGTTACAAAGTACTTTTTGTTCTAAACATCTGAACATCATAGTCTTGTGTCGTAATGTGAACAGAAATTTAAATATTTGAAACAGGCATTTAGTCCAACAAACTTGACACCTTTTTTCTTTATTCAAGGCAGGAAAGGCCAACATTTGTTGTCTATTTCCAATTGCCCTTGAACTGAGTGGTTTGTCAGGCCATTTCAGACAGCAACTAAGAGATAACCACATTGCTGTGGGTCATGAGTCACAAGAGGGCCAGATCATGATGGTACATTTCCTTCCCTGAAAGACAATCATGATTTTTAAAACATGGAAGTTTTATAGTCACTGTTTAGTTAATTTAAAAAAAAATTATATTTAAATCTAAATTCCAGCAGCTGTGTTATGGGATTTGAACCTATGTCCCAGAGCATTACAATCCCCTGACGTGATGGACTTGATTTATTCCCACTTTAACAAAATCGTCAATCACTTCATTCTTTCTGTTGGTTCTTGAACTTGTTCATATTTCATAAATAAACGGCCTTCCACATTAATATTCCAGAACTATTGGCCTCTGTAAGTAAAAGTTCAAGTTTCCTTTACACTCTTAAATGTTCAATTTTTATAACTCACTTCTGCTGCTACTTGAATACCTAGCATGATGAGCCATTTGTATTTGGGAATATCTCAAACTTCAAGTAAAGGCACCTTAAGATTTCTCCTCTAAAGTAGAATACTTTTCTTAATCTCCGCTCCTAATTTTTATACTTAGAGACTTACCTATGTTGTTCAACCTGAAACTTCTTAAGTTTCAGGTAACTATTGAACAGAATTTCTTTATCATAGTATCTCAGCAGGTGAATGGGATCATTGCACAATACAGAATCAAATACGCAAAGTAAAGCAGCATTTAATTGAGGGGTGCAAGTGGAGTCAAACATGGATAGAATGAGAGCACAATTTTGTTAGCACTGATGGCAAGTTGGATAAATTAGTAAGAGTTAAATTTCAGCACTTTTTGCATTCAATAATCAAAAAAGGTAAATTACTGAATATGAAAACTCAAACCTGACTCCAAACTGTGAAAATCATCATTACCTTCCGAATCATCCATACGATGGACAACGTTTGAAGATTCCTCCTCCTGCGCACTGGAATTACTGTTTAGTGCATTGCCCATAAGGTCAGCTTCACTACCTTCTGTACTAGCAATAGTTATAGGTTTTCTAACAGTTACAGGTTTCAGATTAACTGAATAATGGAATTCATCTGTAGATGATGTTCTCACTTTAGCATCTCCTGAATGTGCCTTTGTGTCTAACCATGTTGATACTTCACTTACACTTCTTGGCAGCAAGTGTTTATTGTATTGCAGGATGGTTTGAGGTTCAACAGGATCACCTTCAGGTGACTTTTCCACCAGGGTTTCCGCTTGGCTCTTCAAAGGAATATTGGTGCAATCATTTTTTCCTGGAGCTACATCCTGTTCCAATGTGGGTAAATCAGACTGGGAAGACCGTAGAATGATTTCCTCATCCCTCTCCTTTGGACAAACTTGACCTTCTTCATCAAGTCTTATTGTATAATTGTCTGCTGGTGTCCTCAACTCTGATTTATAATCATTGTAAAGTAAAATTGGACTCTCATTGCAGACTTTATCATCATCCTTTCTCATTGTGAGCTCCTCTTTTGATGGTGTGTCATCTTTAGCTGATTCAAGTGCCATTTTCTTTATCTTCTCATACATCTCCTTTCTCTCGATCTCCTTTGCTGGAAGAATCTCCTTCTTTATAGGTTCCTCCACAATGCAATCAGCAGGAGTTTGACTGCTTTTCATGACTGACAAAGATTCATCCAAACTTGAGTGTTTGGAATGCATCAATGTTGTAGCTTTTCCATGTTCAATGGATTCCACTGCAATGGAGTCCTTTGTCTGATTGTCATCACTATGAGCTTGCGGAACATTAATTTTAGATACTTCATCAACCATGGAAGGAGTTGTATCTGCATGTTGATCCCACTTGGTCATCCATGCATCTGACTTTCCAATTTTGACAGTTGGTCTGGCTCTTGCAGCAGGAACAGGAGGTAACTTGCTAGTCCAAGTTAACGGAACAGCTTCTCCTTCCTCAGAGGAATGAGGTATTGATTGGTTCCCTTGAAGTTCTGATTTAGGATAGCTATTTGTAGAAGGAATTTCCTTGGTTACCAAAGCGGACTTGGACTCCGGCGTTGTGGATTGCTTTACTTCAGTAGGGCAGCTTTTGTAATCTGGTGATCTGAGTCTTCTAAATGGAATTTTGGAAACATTGCTTGGAAGTTCACTGTTTGCTTTATTGGATTCAATTCCTTTTTCCCAAAAGTGCCTCAGGCTTTTGAAACGGTTGGGGTCAGTAAGGGCTTCTTCTTCAAGGTGCCTATTACCTAAGGCATTTATAGTGAACACAGCACCTTGTTTATGGCCTTTCTCTCTCTCATCATCAGAAGAGGATGACTGATATTTAGCTATCCTGGAAGTAGGTTGAAAGGCAGCCTTTGCTTGGTCAGTCACCTCAGTAGTCCCATTCTGACCTGCCAACTGTCTACTCAATGGCTTCAGATCCTCAATAGGTATTTTTGGAGTTTCCCCTGCTGTCTCTAAAGCAATTTTCAGTCTTGGAATTCGAGATGTGGGTGACAGGTTCAATTTCTCAAGTGTATTGTAAGCTTGTTGGTCTTCATTAGTTTTGGCTGATGATAGTCCTTGTGGACCTACAGTTTATAAAATGCCATTCAGTTAGTAACCAACTCAAGCATTAGACGTAAAGTTACATTAAAGTGAACAGCAGATATTAAATCACTAAAACCTCCCACACTAAAAATGAAACATTTGTCCAGCAGTGAATGGGTACTGACTCTTTAGATCAATCATGATATATAGTTTAAAACCCATGTACTCTCAGAAATCTTTTCCCTGCCTAAAATCAATAGCAAGTTTCAACCATTATTTAGCTATCTCTGTGCAGTTTACTTAAAGATTGGATGGTGTGGCTTGTTTTTAAAAAACATGTGTGATTAGGTCAGATAAATGTCTAGTTGGTGACTCCCTTCAAATGTTTATGACAAATTTTAAACTACACCAAACCAATGACATGTTTATTTTTTGTGAACTAAAAGCATTAGACTATCTGCAAACAGCACCATTGAAAAGGAAGGAAGAGAATCACATCTTAATTGTTACGTTTTCACAACTAACTGATATGGTGTAATGCTGAAAATTATGTTAATGCTATTATTTTGAGAGAAAAATATTGTCAGATATTTCTCAGAAGAAGTCAATGCCTGTCTGAACTTCTTCCCTTTATTTGATAGGGTCAAAGGAAAAGAATAATTGTAAGCATTATAAATCACCTGACTCAGAGGCAAAGCCTTCAGGCTTCTTGGTTGTCACAGTTTCACTTTCTCTGGATGTTCTGTCCGATTTTGGAATCTGGGTAATGTTAGACGTATGCATTTTCCCTTTGTCACTGCTCTCTGGAATCTTGTAAGTGGGAGCCCCTTTATAGTGAGTGGCCAAGCTCTTCTTGGATTTTGGCACATCCAGGGCCTTTTCATTCATTGGTGATACTACTGCAGAGACTGTGATTAATCCCTGACCTGAAACGAAAGAAAAACAATACTTACTTAACAGGCAACTGTTTTCCGACATAACCTTCTCGTCACATAATGTACAATAAATTAGTTGTAATTTCACTTCCTGTACTGAAGTATACACAAATTGTCTGATTTAAAATGTTGAAAGTGCTGAATCCAGTTATTTATGAACTGAATTGAATTCAGAATGGAGAGGGACATTTTTCAACCCTAGCAATTGTTTAGCTAAACTCAGTTCCCAGTTTGCCAAGTGTCGCCAGCACGAAGCTGATCAGAACAAATGACAGATATTGACAGAACGTGGTATAGGAGTGGAAATAAGTCCAGGGTGGGGGGGGGAAAAAATCGACATCACACTAATATGTAATTTCTTTGGTAAAGAAGCAACGCAATATTCTCTGTACTTAACTCAACGAATAAACTTCCTATAGCTGAACAATTGGAGAAACTGAAGCCATCCCTCTTCTGCCTCAAAGCACTACAGAACGCTATGTTCAGTCACTGAACTCCCACCCTGGAATTTTATCTCTCAATGCCTCTGCCATCTTTCCATCTCCTTCGACCCTTTAAGGCCCACTTTGGCCAAGCCTTTGGTCACCCTTCTCATTTGTTCTTTGATTGGTGTCATGCCCATTTTCAACTGTGAAGCACCATGGAACATTAAGTGCCATATGAATTCAAGCCATGTTTATATTTTATCTAACCATTCTGAAAATGCTTCTTACAGTCTATTCCTTTGTATTGATTGCTTTTATTTTGTTGCTCACAGAAATTTTCTAGCAGCAAGAAAACTTTCAATTTGGAATCAATGGTAAATTGTGGTGCAAGGTTTATTTCCCAAGTAGTACAGTCAGATTTCTTGAGGATATTATTCTTTGCCCCATACGTGCCTATCAACAGCAGATAAAATGAACAAATTATGTCAGCAAAGGAAAATCAAACACAAGGACTCTTCCATTACAGCTATATTGTGTTTAACATTCATACCTCCTTCAGCCATATGCTTCTAACTCAACAGTGTCAATGACACAGCTGACTGCTTCTTTCACCGCACATGAGAAATATGCCAGGCTGGTTTTCCACTACCACTTCCTGACTTACCTAGGAAGTATCCCAATACATGTAATTTTAGCTCTAAAAGTGCAAAAGGGACACAGGTGAGTCTACCAACCCCAGAAGCACAGCCAAGGTACTTGCGGGTGAAATGGAAAGAAATGTAAGGATAGGATTTACATGCATTTGGAGAGGCAAGGATTTATTAGGGATACTCAGCATGGTTTTGTGCAATGGAAATTGTGTCTCACAGACTTGATTGAGTTTTTTAATGAAGTAACCAAAAAGATTGATTGATGAAGGCAGAGCGGCAGACGTTGTTTACTTAGACTTTAGTAAAGCCTTTGACAAGGTTACGCATGTTAGACTAATCAGTAAAGTTAGATCACATAGGATTCAGGGTGAGCTGGCTAACTGGGTATAAAATTGGCTTTATGGTAGGTGACAGAGGGTGGTGGTGGAGGGTTGTTTTTCACACTGGAGATCTGTGGTGTTCCACAGGGATAGGTACTGGTCCACTTTACTTTGTCATTTATATAAATGATTTGGATGAGAATATAGGAGGCATAGTTAGTAAATTTGCATACGACACCAAAATTGGTGGTAGAATGGACAGTGAAGAAGGTTATCTAAGGTTACAAAGAGATCTTGATCAATTGGGTCAATGGACTGAGAGTGGCAGGTTGAGTTTAATTTGGATAAATGTGAGGTATTGCATTTTGGTAGATCAAACAAGGACAGGACTTACACAATTAATGGTAGGGCCCTGGATAATGTTGCAGAACAGAAGGACCTAGGGGTTCAGGTATAAAATCCTTTGAAATTTGCATCACAGATAGAGAGTGTGGTTAAGAAGGAATTTAGCATGCTTGCCTTCATTGCTCAGAGCTTTGAGTATAGGAGTTGAACGTCATGTTGAGGTTGTACAGGATACTGATGAGGCCTCTTCTGGAGTACTGTGTGCAGTTCTGGTTGCCCTGTTACAGGAAGGATTTCATTAAACTGGACAGGGTTCAGAAAAGATTTACCAGGATGTTGCTGGGAATGGGGAGTTTGAGATATAAAAATAGACTGGAAAGACTGGGACTTATTTTACTGGAGCATAGGAGGTTGAGTGACGCTCTTATTGAGGTTTATAAAATCGTGACGGGCATAGTTGAGACGAATGATAAGGGTCTTTTCCCTAGTTTGGGGGAGTTCAAAACTAGGGAGGCATATTTTTAAGGCGAGAGGAGCAAGATTTAAAAGGACTTGAGGGCAACATTTTTACATAGAGATTGGCTCGTGTGTGGAATGAACTGCCAGAGAAAGTGGTGGATGCAGGTGCAGTTACAATGTTTAAAAGACATTTGGAAAAGTTCATGAATAGGAAAGGTTTGGAGGGATATGGGCAGGTGGGACTAGTTTAGTTTGGGAACACGGTTGGCATGGACTAGCTGGACTGAAGGGTCTGTTTCCCTGTTGTATGGCTCCATGACTTTCCGATTGTATAACTGCTGATCCCAACAATGACTAGACTGTATTAACATAAGGAGATGTCCAGAAGTGAGTGGAAGGAAGTGCAAGAGAGTTACATAAACGTCATAAATTTCAGTTGAAGTGATAGATTGGTTAAATCAACAGAAATGGTCTAATTCATTACACCAACTGTCATCTTCTGTACTAACGTTAAGTCAGGCTTCACATGTGTTCAGTCTCAGTAACTGCTCTGTTAGTTTCTTATCTATCACTATCATAGAATCCCTACTTTGGAAGCAGGCCATTCAGCCCTCTGAAGAGCATCCCACCCAAACCCATCCCCCTACACTATCCTATAACTTGCATCTCCCATGGCTAACCTCCTAATCCATACATCGCTGGACATTAGGGGCAATTTAGCATACCCAATCCACCGAACCTGCACATCTTTGGACTGTGGGAGGAAACCAGAGCATCGAGAGGAAACCCATGCAGACACAGGGAGAATGTGCAAATGCCACACAAATAGTTGCCCAAGGGTAGAACTGAACCCGGGTCCCTGGCACCGTGAGGCAACAGTGCTAACCACTGAGCCTCCTATTTAGGGTAATTTTAAACAACCTTGGTTTCTAACCATAATGTTGCTGAAATGTCCAGCTTGAACTATTGTTTAGTTAGATTACTGAAAGTTTGGAGAAGGAGACAGGAAGATCTTTTATTTCTTAAAAGATTGACATGTCTTGAATCATTACGTTGATGCTAAAGGGGATTGACAAAGTAGTCTAGACAGGATATTTCCAATCTAGAAATCATAGTTTTAGGATAAGGGGTAGCATATTTAAAACAGAGATCAGGAAAAATAACTTCATTCAAAAGGTTGTGAATTTATGGAATTCAATACTCGAGAGTAAGGTGGATGCTGGAATATGGAGTAAATTTATGGAGGAGATAGACTGATTTTTAATTAGTAATGGGTTGAAGGATTACAAGGAGCAGCCAGGAAAGTGGAGTTGAGGCCAAGATGAGATCAGTCATGTTTGTTTTGAATGGTGGAGCAGAATGGAGGGGCTGAATGGCCTTCTCCTGCTCCTAGTTCTTGTGTTCTGTTCCCATTATGTACATGTTGGCTCATTTCAAAACCACACTCACCATTCAAGTTACTGTGCTCAGGCTCTTCTGCAGCCTTCCATGTTTCCCCTGTAAATTCTAAATGACTTTGCTCTCTTGGAGTCTGACTGTTACCCTCAGGTGAAGCAGTTCTTTGGTCCCTAATCTCAGATGCCTGGTTTGCTTGCTTTGCATCATAGGAGCTGCCTGCATCATTATCTTGTTTCATTGTATCTGGAGATTCCTCACCAATAGGAGACTTGGTGCTAAAACCTGCAGGAATCCTTTGTGAACCTGTAAAAGAGAACATGTTTGACACATGAGAGATAGGAGCAGGGGTGGGTCATTTCTTCCCTCAAACTTGCCCCCTATTCAACAACATTCATAGTTGAACTGTCCCAACCTCAACTCTTCTTTCATATCAGCACAGCATAGCCATCAACTCCCTGATATTTCAATAATCTACATATCGCCACTTTAAATACTTTCAATGACATAGGAGCCACAACTCTCTGGGGTATAGATTTTTTTTGTTCAATCCAACTAGCGGAGGTGTTTCTTCAATTAGTATCTGCTTCATAACATGGCCACACCATTACAAAATCAGACAGATATTAAGATCATATTTGGTGAATGGTCCATTTTCAATATGGGAATGTCAGGTCAGAATTCAGCTCCTTTTGGAATATATAGAAACTCTATTCATAGATTTTGTTTTATCATATTCACCATTGAGAAGTAGTAGCAAAGTAACCTAGGCTGGCCACTGAATATTGAAGGATAGCTGACATTTCAGTAGGAGAGGAAGAAAGCAAAAGGTAGTGGGTAGCTTTGTCAATAATAAGGAAATAGTCTTGACCTGGAAGATAACAATGTCAAATTGATTTGGGTGGAGATAAACAACTGCAAGGGAAAGTCATGAGGTGGGAGTAGCATATTGGTCCCCTAACAGTAGGTACTGTGTAAGGCAAGAATATAAATCAAGAAATAATGTGGCATAGAAGAAGGGATAAGCAATAATACTGGAACCAACCAGAGAACAGGCTTTTTTTTTAAGTGGACATTGTGCAATCATCAGCAAACATCTCTCCTTCTGATGTTATGATGGAGGGGTGGGCATTGATGTGGGATGTCACTGGGTAGGCCAGCATTTATTACCCATCCTTAATTGCCCAGAGGGCAGTTAAGGGTCAACACATTGCTGTGGGTCTGGAGTCACATGTAGTCCAGACCAGATAAGGATAGCAGTTTCCTTCCCCAAAGAACATTAGTGAATCAGGTGGGTTTTTCCGACACGGTGATCATTAGACTCTTAATCCCAGATTCTTTCTTATTTAATTCAAGTTCCACTATCTGCCATGGCAGGATTCGAACCTGGGTCCCCAGAATATTATCTAGGTCTCTGGATTAAATCAGGCGATAATATCACTTGGCCGTCACCTCCCCCTTGATATTTAGACATGGTAATGTGTAATTTTTTTACTCGTTTGTGGAATGCGTGCATTGTTGACTGGGTCATTTATTGCCATCCCTATGGTCTCAAGAAGGTGGTGTTAAGCTGCTGTCTTAATCTGCTGCAGTGCATTTGCTATGAATATACCCACAATGCCATTAGGGTTGGAGTTCCAGGATTTTAACTGGTGATAGCGAAGGAATGACAATACATTTCCAAATCTGAATGGTAAGTGGCTCAGAGGTTAACTTACATATGATAGTGTCGCTATGCCTCTGCTACCCTTGTCCTTGTGGATGGAAATGGTCATGGGTGTGGAAGGTGCTGTGCAAGGATCTTTGGTGAGTTGAGATAACAAGGTGTAGAGTTGGATCATCAGAGGAGCAGGAAGGCTGACGTTTCGGGCCTAGACCCTTCTTCAGAATCTAGACCCGAAACGTCAGCCTTCCTGCTCCTCTGATGCTGCTTGGCCTGCTGCGTTCATCCAGCTCTACACCTTCTTATCTCAGATTCTCCAGTATCTGCAGTTCCTACTATCCTTGGTGAGTTGGACACGTAGATGGTACACATTGCTGTGACGAATTATCAATGGTGGATGGAGTGAATCTTTGTGGGAATAACGTTGACCAAGCACACTGTTTTGACCTGGATGGTGCCAAGCTTCTCAATTATTGTTGACGCTGCACTCATCCAGGCAAGTTAGGAGTATTTCATCACATTTCCGACTTGTGCCTTGCAGATGGTGCAGTTTGAGGAGATGAAGTACTTGCTGCAGGATTCCTAGTCTCTGATCTTTTCTTGTAGCTGCAGTAGTTTTTTGACTGCCAGTTCAGCTTCTAGTCAATGGTAAACCTGCGATGTTAATGGTGAGGGATTCAGCAATGGTAATGCCATTGAATGTTAAGGAATGATGATTAGATTCTCTCAGGTTGGAGATGCTCATTGTCTTGGTTCTTTAATGGTGCAAATGTGACTTACTAGTTGTCAGCCCAAGCCTGCATATTGTCCAGGTCTTACTGTGTTTGAACCTGGACTGCTGCAGTACATGAGGAGTTGTGAATGGTGTTGAACATTGTGCAATCATCAGCAAACATCCCCGCTTCTGACTTATGATGCCAAACAGCAATCACTCTCACCTCACATCTGGAACTCAGCTCTTTGTCCATGTTTGAGACGAAGGCATAATGAGGTCAGGAGCTGCATGGCCCTGCTGGAACTCAGACTGATTATCATTAGCTGCGATTGGCTGACCGGGCTTCAAATATCTCCTGGCCGCTCCTCACTGTTGATTGCCATTTGATTTCCACACCACACACCCCCTCACCGCACCCTGACCCCCACCCCAGCCTTACTGTCCCCTGAATTGTGGCACCTTTACCACTGTCAAGCAGCCAGTTTGGGGTGGAATGGGAGTGAAATAATAATTAGGTCCTCTGAATAACTGAAACAGTGAGTCTTTGTTCCCAGGATTTCAAGGGCTTGCACACTCCACCCTTCCCCCCAGCCCGCAAACATGAACCCCTTCCCACAACTCTTAGTGTCTAACTGTTTAAATAATGAAGAGTAGCTTGGACATATTTAGTAAGTGATCTTGCACATGCACTTGATTTATTCATGCATCTGAGCTCAATGACTCCACACTAGATTTCTGTTTATTTAAAGGGAATGAAATGGAAGAAATAATTCTCTGGTTATAAAAAGGCCTTTTTTCCCCTCAAAAAGGGAAAAAAGATAGTCAGCCCATCTTTGTCTTAGTATGTGATAATGTCTACATGAATTATTTGTAGCAAGTGTTGAATTTGTGCTGTATCAAGCTGATAGATAGAGGGAAACTTAGATTTTACAATAAGATTTAAAAAGAAGCCACCTCTTCAGAAAATCCAAAATGGGGGATAAAGGTCCTATGTTTGAAACAGGCAATGTTGCTGTTTGCAGTTTGCCTCCTCAGACACGTAATTTGTTTTTGCAAACTGCTGGTTAAAATATAGAAACATTAGAAGACAGTATAATTTTAGAATGTTTGCCTTGTGGAAGCCACCAGAAGGAAAGCATTTCCAAGTTCTTCTCCCATTGTTTGATAAGTTGAGAAAGCTTTATTTAGTTTTGCTTTCAAGCATTTTCTGAGGTCAAGCAAAGCGCATTTCACCTTACTGAAACAGATTCTAGTATTCCTACAGTTTTTTGATGATTATATAGAATTCCACAAGAAATTCTTGGTTGGTGGTAGTAGTTTGATATTTATGTGGCTTTTAAGTCATTTTGAGAGCTGGGCTGCAATGTTGAAAAATTTAAGGTGCATCTTCTAGCCAGCTTGCCTCTGCACCCAGAGTCCTCATTCACCCCACCACAGCTTGGGAAGTGCACTACAAACCACAAACCCGTGTTAGTCAGAAAGTCAAACATCTAAGGCAAAGTAACGTATCAGTCAGGTGTACGCCTTGGAAGCTGTGATGATGCAGTTTGGGATTTCCAGAGTCCACGCGAAAATCAAGGCCAATGAATAAGGTTGTAAGTACAGATACTGAGGACTTTATTTAAAAATCTTATTCCAAAATTTAATAGAAAGATACCCACCAACCCAATTCAAACCAGTTCATTTCCTCATTATTACCAAATTACATTTTGGCATTCTCCCTAAGTTGAACTGGTTTCTTCTCCTCTTTCAAGCCCCACTTAGGCCCACTACCCTCTCATTGTTCCATCTCTCTTTCTTGTCCTTCAAAATACTTGTTCTCCAACAGCTCACAGCTTCTTCCCGAATCTCAGTCAAAGATCTCATCCTTCATTTACTTTGACTTATAAAATTTTAAATGTTATCTGCATACATACTGGTTTTTAGTTGAGTCACATTATCATTTTCATAGTCTAAAACTGATCAGTAATTCAGTCTTATGTGTGGAATGTCACATGTCAACGAATGGCCGCAACTCAAATCATTTGAACTTCATTGACATAAATCAATGTTGCTCAATAAAAATGTTCCAGGATGAGTAGATGCCTGGTTTTAATGCAATATAGTGATGTAAGAAAAGAAGTGCACCTTTATAACTCACACAAATCATCAGGTACGTTTCAAGCACTATATACCTACATTTCTATAGCAGTTAAGTTAATTACTTCAAATTGCTAAACAATTCATTTGTTCTCAACTTCAAAATAATCAGCAGTTTTCATTGTTGTTTAGACATTAAGGAACATCTCAATACTTCCCAATTACCAACTTACCATGTACATGATCCTGATCAAAGGTAAGGTCATTTGGTGTTCTTGACTCCTCAGTTCTGCTCAAATCTCCCGGGGTACCAATAGAATTTATTCTTCTTGGAATTCGAGAAACACTGGAAGTATGTCTCATCTGAAGTTCAGTCAATATGTCAGAGCCCATGGGATTCTGATAGGTTTCTGGATAGTGACTATCTACACTCTTGGCTCGTTTCTGCCACTCCACAGTTGGCTCAGATACTGGAGTGGATACTCTAGGTCCTGCATGATCTTTTTGCTGCCCTGCAACATACAACAATTAAGAAAACTTAGGAGCTCTCTTAGAATTAAAGATTTATACCATGTATCAGGAGATCTCACAGTGGTCAAAAATAGAGCATGCTCCGATTAGTACAAAAGTTACTCACTTAGTTCATCTGCATTATAAGACGTTCTCCATATTGGTCACTGTAGACAACATTCAGTTGAGGAGGAACAGAGAAACATAATAGGCCTTGAAGACTTTTCAAAATTCAACAGATCTTGCTGTTCTGTACCTCAACTGATTTCACAACCTTTGATCCCCATTGCTTGATATTCTAACCTAACAAAATTCAATTGCTCCATTATCATCATCTTTTTCCTTTGGTCTTATCATATGGGAGAAATTACAGGGGAAAAATGAAAGAAAACCAAAATACACATGAAACACTCCATCTGAGTGTCACTACATTAACATATTATCATTCTCTCCCTGAAACAGTCACTTGATCTAATTTTGTAGCTGCCTTAATCTGTCAGATATGGTAGATTCAATCATAGAGTCACACAGCATGGTAACAGGCCCTTTGGTCCAACTAGTCCATGCTGACCATAACCCCAAACTAAACCAGTCCCACTTGCCTGCATTTGGCCCATATCCCTCCAAACCTTTTCTATTCATGTATTTACCCAAATGTCTTTTAAATGTTGTTCATTCCACATACGATCCACTCTCTGTGTGAAAAAGCCGCCCCTCGTGTCCTTTTTAAAATTTTCTCCTCTCACCCTAATAATAAGCCCCCTAGTTTTCAACTCCCTCATCCTAGGGAAAAGACACCTGCTGTTCACCTTATCTATGTCCCTCATGATTTTAGAAACTTCTTTAAGGTCCCCCTCAACCTCCTACACTCCAATGAAAATAGTCACAGCCCATCCAGCCTATAGCCCTAAGGAAATGCTATTAACACAGAGCCAAGCAACCCTATACTAGGCTACATGTCTATTTTAACAGAGGTTTCAAATCGGCCATTTGTGTTTTGCTTTGAAGAAAAAGCAAATAAAGTCCAGAACAGAAGATAAATATTTTCCCTTAATGAGGAAAGGAGGAGAAATCACCAAGGCATTTTCAGCTACTCTTACATATTGTGTACTCTTAAAATGGTATTAGCACAAGTTCAGGAGTAGCTGAGACAACAAGGTGCAGGGCTGGATGAACACAGCAGGCCAAGCAGCATC